TCTCTCTCTCTCTCTCTCTCTCTCTCTCTTTCTTTTTTTTTTATTAAAAATATTGCATTATTCAGATGATAAAAACAGATACTATCAAAAGTATTTTTTTGGGTCATAACTTCTTTTATGGAATTAAAGATGTGGCTCATGTTGGACATAATGACACGTTTTTTGCTTAAACACTTACATTTAAATCGAACAACTGATGGCAATGTTATCTTCTCGAGCACGTGTGCATCCGAGCGTGGCGGTTCAATACAATCGGATCGAAATGTCACGTAAAGACTATCGCAAAATGTTGTCAGATTCCTAGCAGGAATCCTTGCTCGAAACTTTCGCTTTTCGAAATCAATGCATGCGAGTTTCGGGCAAAATGACGTCGTTTGGCGAGCAAGAGGAGCGGATCAAAGGATTGCGAAAGGACACGCGTGCCGAAAACACATGCATTCATTTTCTTCCACGATTCGTACCACGCACAAAATACCGGTAGCTACTCTTGTGCTGAATCGCAGTTGGTAGGTAGGTAAGTGAACGACCTTAATGCAACGGTATTTGTGCGTGATTTTCAAAGCACGTAGGACAACGGCACGTATGTATAACGCGCGTAAAATTGCCGCACGCCGAAACTGTTCTGATTATCTTGGCTCTCGGATCTGCCGCGATGATTCCGTCGTTAAAGTATTTGTGTGGAGACAGACGAAAAGTAAACTAATTTTCGTAAACTATATCGCAACAGAATATCGTGGAACATTAAAAATATTTGATATAAGTTTTTATCTGTATCCGTATCCATTAACATTAAGTAGTTAAAATGTGAAGCGAAGAACTTGAAAACTAACAATAATACAACATTTAGACATTTAAATTTAGATTTATATTGCGAATTTTATTTTTACAAGTTTATATCGATTTCTAAACATTGAAATAAAAACGGAAAATATATTTGAAAATATGTAGAAACTATAAATATAAATATATAAAAATAAGAAATGGTAACTGACGTCAAATATCTGTAAATATTAATTAACAGCACATCTTGAATTAATCGTCGATGTTCAATTAACATAGCAAAATCGTAATATCGAAAAATACATTAATATTATTATATCTTGAAGAGACTTTATATTACTTTTTGTTACGGTAGTTTTAAAGCATTATTCTTTTTTCTCTCTCAATGCGTTATTTGAAAATAGGAAGATGACTTGATACAGTTAAACTCATTTTGATGAATGGCAAGTTTCAAGGATTATCATACGAATACATAACAGCAAAACATAACAGTACATGTAATTCCGATATAAACTAGTGCAAGAATCAATAAAGAAAACTTATAAATCTAGAAATCTAGAAATCTAGAAATTATATTATTTAGATCAACGACGTTCACTAGTGGACAAACTTGTCTGATTTTTGTAATCGTTATCGAGATCGTTGATTTTTAAAAGTAAAAAAACTGGCGCGCCGCACGCGTACGAAATTGCTATTTATAGTGTATTTATTGCGTATTTATAGCAGACAGAAATGTGAGCTCTAGACTTATTGCAAATCTTGTTAGAATAGATTTGCAATAAGTCTAGAAGTCTCAAAAGATAAAAAAAAAATGTAAAGGAAAAAGAAAAGAAAAAAAAGATTAGAATGAGAAAAAAGAAATTTTATTATCCGATATACGAATCCTTTAACAGAAATCATTTGTCAAACTATTGGCATATAGTGTCATCATAATTACTTTATCCGTATCGCAATATTTTTTTCTTCCGATAAGTGGAAATAGATAAAGCGAAAACAGGTATTCATTAATGTCCATGGAATTATCAGGCTGAATGCAACAAAGGGAATTGTAGAGATAGCGAAGATAATGATGGGAGTAATTCTAATTGTAATGGCAAATGATGGGAACAATTTCCCCGATAAGGAAATATTGGCAAAACAAAGGCACTCATTAAGAATTGAGGCATTTTCATAAAATTAATTATCAAGGCTAGCTCAAAAAAATAAGCTCCAAAGATATCAGAGAGTCAAGAGAACTGAGAGAGCAACGGTGAGAGTGAAATGGATGGGAAGACGAGATGAAGAAGCATCCGAATGAGAGAAAGAAGGAGCGGGGATGAAGAGGATGGGCCGGCACGCATTCCGACCGTTCAAAGGACCTTTCGGTCGGAATGGACCCGCGTGCCCTTCGCTGGTCTCTCCGGAGGGCCGTATTGTCCGCGTCGGACCACTCGCGGCTGGCGGCAGGGGGGGGGGTCGGAGAGGAGGCAGGGAGGGATTGGGGGAGGTGGTATCGCGGGACCCCAGCAGGGCACCCAACTTAACCTCTCAAAGCAAACGGTCAAAACGCAACTAAACCGGAGTCCACTCACCTCGTAGCTCGTTCGTGCCACGCTGCGCTCTGACGATGCCTCCCTCGTCATTCACCGCCAGCAAACGCACTGTTGTTTACAGAGATATTTCAGAACACTATCGTTGATATCACTATAATAAGATACAACTATACATTGCATATGTCAAAACACCCGGGCGTCCTGCGCGCTGCATCGCCCTGCGTTCATTTGAAAAATGATCCCTCGGACTGCGCGACTGCGGAATTTGCCACACGGGGACCTAAGTCGGTCCCCAACGGGTTACCAACGCGTCGTTTCGCGTTCTCTCGTTTGCCGCGCGGGATTATGCACTTTGTCGTTATGTTGGACAGTCGCTCACACACGTGCGTGCCGATCGCCGTGGATAAGACGCGAAAAATGCGAGATCGCGGGGACCGCGCGCTCCGCTTTGAAGCGGCAGATAAGTGTGGCAAACGCCGACCGAGTCGACGTGTTGCCGTTTTGACCTGCCTGCAAACTGACCAATCGTCGCGCAGGTGGCATCCCGCTGGCCCCCGCTAGTCCCTGCTGGTGGCAGGCACACAGGAGAAGGGACTCTGCCACCTGCCACGCGACCTGCTGGAATCTGAAACAAGATCAAGCCGTACGAACGAACTCTTGGTTCATTGAAACGATAGTCTGCCAGCGCTGATTGGTTGTTGGTAACGTAGAACGTCATTCACAAAAGATGCTGCATTGTTTAATATTCTGAAACATTATCATTCTTTGAATTATGTCCCGGAATAAGCTCAGAATAATGACGATCAAACTTGTCAATTAGACAAATCGCATGAATTGCGATTGATTGTATTGTTTATGTTTCTTTACTCTGTGTTATCTTTTTAACAAATGAAAATTTGTAGTGATAAAAAGAGATAGTTTATTATCAGATGGAAATAACAGTTTGCGTTTATCCAGTTAGGTTTGTGTCGAATTAACAGAATGTGTCTAAATTCTCATCTACCTGATTCTAATCATCTGTTGCGCTATTCGCTGGGATAAGATCAATTTGCACAGTTTTCGGTTTCTTTAAACGACATATTGGGGAATGTAGATTGATCGTTGGTAATTTAGAATCACATTCATGAACGACGGATGGTTCATGGATGTCTCAGAATCATTTAACATTCCGAAACATTATCAAGTGAACAGCGTTCTAGGTTTACCAAGGAACATTTGTAATTGAAGCTATTACTGAATTTTCTCTTTTTACCAACTGTTGACAGAGTACCTCCACATTAATAATTTATTACACTAATTACACAGTTCATTTGATATGCAGAAGGCAGCTCACATGAGTAGCTCAGATTCTCATGTTGTGTCTCAATATGGAATAATGTACAACCCCTTTTATGTTCAAGATTTTTAAAAACCATCTCTCCTCCTAATCTTGAAATAATAAAATGTAACTTTGTGACGATTCATCTATCAATGTTAAGATTGTGGAATATTTTAGTAGATAAATATTAAAATATGAGTATTATAATGTTTCCATAACCGATCAATGAATGTCAAAATCAATATCCAGAAACATTTCTCGCTATATATACCGCTGCAATAACGCTCGTGTATAATGAGCTAATTACCTTTAATCATATTCGTTACTGTTCACGCATCATTGTTGTTCCGATAATGCGAGGAAAAAACCAGCGGTTACGTTTGAAGATCTTTATCAGATGATGAGATTCGATATATCTCGCTCGGCAACGCCGACGTGGGGAAAATATTATACAAGGCGGGCCTCGCGCACGGTGCTTCAAGGCTGACCCGGCATAGGTACTTATTGTATCAAGTCTCGTTAACGGAGATGTTCATTCACTCGTACCGGCCAGATGACCAGTATGGCTCGCGTAACTCACCGCCGCTGCCGTATCCCGCCAATCTCGTCGTATAGGCGCCGTAGAAAAGTGGCCGGGAAGATCGACGGGACTTGTCGATGATATGTGCCTGAAGTATCGGTTCCGCATCGTAGAAATGCAATCGATGTGTCAGCTCGTTTGATGACGATGGCGGCGCTAATTCGTCTTAAACGCGGTAGCGTCCAGTTGAGACATGCGGCACTCGAGGTCAAAGGTACGTGTGTGTGCCCTCAATTGACTTCCCTTGACAACGGGTTTCCGGAATTCTCAGTGCGTTACTACCGCTGTACGATTCGAAGATAATTGATAAACCATCTGCGATGCTTTATATTTTGCCTCGAAGGAAGTGAACAATAAGAATTTATTAATTATTCATCATAAAATCATCGGTATCATAAAATGTATGATCTTAGATTTTTCAATTGATGTCGAATTAATTCTTTCTATAATGGAAATTTTTAGATTATGATTACGAATTGTAGATTTAGAGTTAATTTTTGTATTGGCCGTTATTGGTCGCGCATATTCATTTATAATTTAATAATAATAAACGAATTAATAAGAATCAGAGAGGGTTAAAAGCACTATTTTAATAGTTTGCATTATTCGAGAAATTAATAGCGTTTCGCGTTCATTGTCTTGTCGAAAAATCATCTATTTGCATTGCGTTCATTGCCGAACCAAAGTCGAGGTCACCTGTAATGTAATCAGAGTAGTGCGGAGATAGTGCGCAAAGAACCAAACATTGGGAATGATAAGAACGAGATCGCAGTTGAACTCATTATTTTTGCGTTCTGTGAGATGGCAGACTTCGTCAAGAGAGGTAGCGTGCAGTTCGTTAAACGTGGCAGTTGTCAACTAAAGCTCGCTGCGCAAGAGGTTCGAGGTTCGTCAAAGTTATAATCATTGCAATCAATATTTACTCGTCACAATTGCGCGTGTGAAATTTAGCATTTCATCGCTATCGTACGCTAAACACTTCAAATTATACAAATTCATATTTTATTTAATATGATATAAGAATTTTTTCGATATGTAGGTATACTTTTGAGAATTGTATCTTGTAGTTAAATATTTTATATAAGATACATAAAAACTTATAATATTTTTGAGATGTTACGATTAATTTATACTTTCTAATTTTAATGCAAATATTATTTTTACACACATCAAAAAGCAGCGACATATCAAAGTGCCTTTTAAATTTAGAATTTGTACGCAGATACTATCATTCCAGTCAGTTTGAGTAAGTTATCAAAATCAAACATTGCCGTGCTCCGACGTTTGGAGACTACGATAATGGATGTATGTACATACATACATAAAAATTTCTTTTGTTATCTCTTTTGTTGTACCTCTAATTTGTTTAAAATAATGATTCTGAAAATTGTTAGTTCTGCTATCTAATTTCAGTATGGTATATTTACAATTTTAAATAAAAAATTATGTAACTTTTGTGCAATGTTTATTAAATTGAACGTTACTAAAATATTTTGATTTTTACAAAGAAAGCGATTCAAATCAAATAATATTTAGCGATCTCTCTTTCTCTCTCTCTCTCTTTTGATGGTAATAAAATTATTCAAATTTCTTAGTGATTTTTATGGTTGATTAAATTATTCGAAATTACATAATTATATTGTTATTTATTAGCGGCTGTACGAGCGCGACACATCGTCGCCGCGCTGGTCGCAGTTGGATTTGCGCTTTGCGGCGCGGTCGAAGTTAGCTCCTCCGTCGCATTGTTGGCGAATCAGAAAGACAATCATGCCATCATCGACACGTCTTGGCACTGCGACATGCTGGTCAATATCACCAGCCGAAATCGCACCGAGGACTTCGAAATTATATTCATGGAGGTATACATACACGCGAAGCGTTTTTCCTCGCATTTTAGCGTTAAATATACGATTCTATCCACTTTTATTTATTTAACAAGTTTTTATTTGCCACACGGAAGTGAACTAAGTGGGAATGCTGACGCTAGATATAACAGCTTTGTTTCACATTGCTGAACCTTTTTAAATAATTCTAATAAATGGATGCACATATAACATTGAAGGATAATAACGCTTTAATGTTACGTTACAAAATGACACTTATAATTATGTTATGAATGACGACAGCTGCCACAGGAGGAGCGAGCAGAATCGATTATGCGCGAGGCGTTTTTATGGGGACAAGTCGCCGGTCCGATCCTGGGAGGTTGCTTGGTATGGGGTCGATCCGGGCCCTCCATGGTGTTCTCCCGTGCGGTTCTTAGCGCCTGTTTAGCGTCTCTATTAGTACCTGCAGCCTGGCGCGGACCGTCACATGTCGCGCTACGGTTGTTTCAAGGATTATGTACCGTAAGTCGGCGCGCAGCCACTTTATTAAGTCTCGAGGCGATGCTTCGCAACGACGTAAACTCGATTTTGCGTAAAAATACAGCGCCACATAAAACATGCGCGTGAGGATCATTGCGACATCCTCCTCTTTTGCAGGGCGCGACCATGCCCGCTGCTCACATGTTCGCTATGACCTGGTTTAAGAGCAATCACAGAAGCTGGTACTTCAGTTGTTACGCAGGTGTGTTGGTGATTGCGAATACAGCTATTTAGGTGAAAAGCAAAGAATAAACGAAAATACTGAACTCCTCGAGTCATTCATTATTGTTTCTTTTTTTTTCCTTGTGAAAGCATAGTTGGCAGGATACTCCACACTTTCTAAAAATATTTTGTAAAGTCCATTGAGTGTTCTCGTCTCTATGTGGTTCAAGTTAATTGACTAGTCCTGATTCCCATGTTTCAAGCTGTTAGCGTGGGTTATTGTCTCACTGGATGGCTGGGCACCGCGGTAGTGCGAACGTTCGGTCGTGATTCTTTGTGTTATGGTCTGGTTCTTTTGGCACTATGCTGGTATTTCGCCTTCGGCCGATTTGTCAAGGACACGCCGAAATCTTACCAACACGACACAACTGTAAGCGGCACTTCCGATTTACTAGCGGGCTCTCGTTCTCGGATATTAAAGTTGTTGAATATATTAATTAATTATCTGATAAACTACAATTAAAGGCATTTTATGTAGTTTCTAAAAATTTTCTATCCGTTAATTAGTACCTGTGGTAACAAACCTGTCGTGCAACTATAACATTCACTTAAGATTACCACACATATATATATATATACTTGTATTTTTTTATGAGGTTAGTTTTTTAATAAGTACGTTTAAGTTAAGTTTTTTGTAAGTACGAGATTACTGATTATCATAGGCAGCTGTGATACCATGGGGAAAGCTATTGAGATCTGTACCTGTTTGGGCGTCCGCAGTGGCGACCATGGGGAATCAATGGGGCGACGCAACGCTTGCACTTGGCATGACAAAGTACCTGAAACTCATCTATGGATTTTCAACAGCTAACGTAAGTTGGCTAAAATTTATTATTATTATTATTATTATTATTATTTTAATTATTGTTTCTACTGTAAAAAACATAACGAGTCAACAAATAAGGAAAGAAAAGAGTTTTATATATATGTTATGTTTTATATTACATGGCTGAACTTGTATTACACTGCAATACTCAGTTAGGGTCAGTTACAATTTAACGACCGATCGATATTACGGAGGGGACAGCTGCGTGCTCGTAGGTCTTGTCCCGTTACTAAGTTGTAATTCAATTCAGGACTCAGTGTTGACCACGTTACCTCACATCGGTCACTTTATGGCTGCGCTGACCTGTGGTCTCCTAGTGGATCACGTCCGCGAGTCTAAGATAGTTTCCACAACCACGGCGAGAAAGTTAGTCGTCTATACAGGTGCGTTATGTATATTTCCATAAGGAACACTACATCCACTATAAGCTATGAAACGCGTGCAAGAATTCTAGCCACTTTGATCTCTTGACAGGCAAGTTAATTTATGTACAAGGAGATAATTTTTACTTTCCATTCTTAGCAAATATCCGGGAAACGTTTTGAGTTATTAAGAAAAAAAAAATGAAAATCCGCGGGAAACTTAACAATGCTGTGGAAAAGTACACGATGTCGATACGTTAGAAATCATTCGTTTCACGCTGCGAGGGGAAATTGATCGTTGCCGTTACCTTGCTTTAGAGTAATAGCTTACGAGATCTTATTATGATAATTGATAATGGATAATGTCTTAAACATGTTGAGTAACAAGGTTTCCTTATTCCGTCATAAAAATATTTCCCCGACTTATTTTTCTGATTCTCCTCACTTAGTACTATCGATATAATAACAAATTGGACACGATTCAGCCCACTTCATCCCCGCGGCTCTCCTCTTCGTCGCCGGTTACGCCGGCTGCCAGGCCCTGGGTGCCGCCTGGTTGGGGATAGCAGCCCTTCTCGTTTCCGGCACCGCACCGGCGGGCGCACTCGCGGCCATAGCCGATCTTGCACCCGCGGAATCGCCGGCGTGTGCCGCGGCTGCGTGCGCTCTTTGCTCCACGTTGGGTGCCGCGGGACTGCTGGCGGCCAATTACTTCGTCACCCAGGCTCTTCATGGCTCCGTAAGTCGAATTACTACGCCGGACATAGGCGCGCGAGTGCGTTATCCGCCCGCGCAAACGTAACGTATTAAAGTTTCCGTGAACGCTAAACGGACGTAGGATTGCGTAACGAGAACTTAATGATGAGTCTTCTTTCCTTCTACTTTCTATGCGTCGCATGAATCATCTCTCGTTACTTTCCACTTTATAAATTATTATTTTACGCTTTACAACTCGTTATTTTCAAGAATGTACAATAATATATTTAATTCTGAAATGAAAAGAAAGTATATTAAAATTTTTTATTTAAAATTCTTTGTACACGAGCAATGTTTTAGCTTTAATACAAGTGTAGAAAAATACATAATTCGATTTCTGCAGAATTGGAAATCGAGGGCGCGTATTAAAGATTCACACCGTACAACACGATTGTAATTATTACCGACCGAAAAACCTTTTTTTAATTCTTTGTTCGAATTTGCATTTGTCGTTCGTTTTAGATCGCTGGTTCTTGGCGATTGGTGTTCGGTGTTGCCTCCGTCGTCCTCCTGACGACCGCTGCGGTTTTTCTGGCGCTCGGCAAAGGCGTTCCGCAACCGTGGATTCCATCCGTGGCGAGACCGCGGAGTCACGACGTAATCTATGAGCAGGACACACTGGAACTCGATCACGAGGATGTGGGCGTGCAAACCGAGCCCTTCGTGCCCTATGCGCTCGAGGACGATGTTGAGAGCTTGAAAAATGTGCCACGCTCTTCGTCCATTCACTCGAAGATCTCGGTGGCCTCCAATTAAGTCGCGATCGCCCTCGTGCCAATTCTCTACGCTATTTTCATGCGCCTCATTTTGCACCAAGGATATTTTATCGCGATAGAGAAACACGATGAACGATAAATATATCGCAAATACACATGCGATTAACGCAATGAATGTATATAAGACTTCAAGAATAAGAAATTAAGAATAAATGTTTGTATTATTAAGACAAATTGTTGTTGAAGAGTATTACAACAAAGAAAAATTAAAAAACTGAGCAACTAGTTCTTATCAGAATCTTGTAAAGAATAATCTGATGGATTACCGTTGGGTTTCGCGAAGCGCAATTTGAGCACCGACTGCTCTAGATAAAATCATTGCGAAACAATGCCGTGAATAATAACAGGTAGATTCGTCGACTGATTACAATTGACTTGTAGAAAGTCGATAATTGATAAAAATGTCGACGTGAGCTGGAAATTGGAGGGATATGGGATGAAAAGTATCAGATACGTCGCTTTTGTCTCGGATTATTCGCTTTCGACTATTGTTGAAACAGCTTTGCTTCATCGGGATATCTCGTCGCGATTTTCTCCTTGCTCGCTTTATTTCCTACCTTGTTGCATACAAATCTGTGCATTAAACGTGCTAGAGCACACTACGTGCTCTCAGCGGCGACTTTCTATCTCCGGTGAAAGAGCGAGAGAAAAATTGGCGGATGCGACAAGCGGTCTAATTAAATAATTTTACGCATTAAAACCTCTGTTGCATACCGCTGATCCCATCACGAAAATGCGCCTACGCCATTGCAACGGCCGCATGCACGGAATACCGGAAGACGTGTGCAAGATCGTAGTTTGCGAGTGTTAGCGAGTGTCTCCGCGAGTGTCTTAACAAATGCCTTTCAAATGCACGCGTGCATATCCGGCGCGCGTGGAAAAATCAGGACACTCTTTAAATATCCGCGGAAAATGGTCTGCCGTTCGCCGTGAATGAAATACTTTGCACGCTTTTCGTTGGCACTCGTTCGATCGACATTTCTCGAGCAAAGTGTTGAGTCAATATTAACTTTGCGATTACTTACACGTGTGTTTCATATCGCTTATTAATAACTGAAACATGTATATTTTTGTACCACAAGCAACACCTTGTTGATAATCTTGGAATAAACTCGTTCAAGTTTAAAGTGCACCATCAGTAAAATCACGATCCGATATTCGCTTTCAATAATTAGCGATAATTGGATAATGAAGTGAATTACATTAATTCATTTCGTCCGATTAATGATTTGCGTGCGAGTAATGTGTTTATTCTCATTAATGTTTTTAACATTCAATCGCCTTTTGTAATTGTACGTTATCACTGCCACTTGTGCAAATTAAATATATGATTGTGATTGTGCCGGTGATTGTTCAGATACCATTCGGATAGACGCGTGAGATATTTGCGTATCGTGTGTCGTGCGTAACGCTTTTTTCGACAAAGAATTTCGCTCGCAGCACAACTGGCGAGATCTCCGAATGCGTGGAAAGCACGCGCGAGATCTCATGATCTACGCCCT